ATAATGTATCATATGTCAGGTCGCTCTTACTGTTTTCATTCGTTCATCTTTAAAGTTTGCTTTTGAGCCTGAACTTCAGACTAAATACATAACAGAACTTAAACTTTACAGTTAATGTCTTCGTCATAGTTTATACATCTACTGTGAAAATACATTGATAAAACAAATGTCTGCTGATTTCTTATTTTATCCTGAATAAAAACAAATTATTTTGTGTTATAGAAAAGTTGAAACGCTCCTTTTGTAATAATAAACCTACAGTTAAAAAGGGGTTTAAAATGGAGTTTGACATTAAGCAGTTTATTGAGCTGACAAGCAGATAACACTGTTTTGTGTTGTTATGAAGACACTCTGCTCTATGTTGTATAAAGTTGCAGTAACTCCACACACACACACACTGTGGTGTTTTATAACGCAAGTGCTCTAAATTGCATTTTTTCCCTTTTCCCCCCATTTATTCATTTCATTCACTCAGTAAAAAATATGAATAGTTCATATAACTAAAAACAAAATAAAATAAAAAAATTTAAACCTCTATCTGCTTCATATTCGCATAAAAATATTAGCTTTTCAACTCAGAAAACTATTATTCATATTTCAAAAACAATACATTACAAATACACTAAGAAGGCATAAAGCATCAGCTTGTTAAATACCACATCATGAGGATTTTCATATTTCTTTGAAATGCAGAAAGATTTAAATCGCTTTATCTCACTAGACTGTTCCATAAAGTGACTCCTTTAATTCAAATCTTTCCATTGTCACTGTTCTGAATTTCAAGTTATCTTTTTACAAACCTGTGTTGAATATTGTTCGGTGAATTTTTTATGCAATTGGTACAGAAATTTAAAAATATTATACTCTATCAGTTCATTAAGTTTAATTGAGTTTAACTGTATAAATAAAAAATATAAATTGCATTTTCAATTCAGAGATAACCTGATGAGTTTTAATATTAATAGCCTTTAATGTGCTATGAAACCAGTTCTAAATCACATTTATTATTTTCCAAGTAACAACGTCATGAACCAAAAAGCAGAGTTTAGGTTGCTGGTTTGTTTCCAGGTAATGTCACACTGACTGCTGCTCAGCGACGTGTGCCCAGACACAGCCAGCTGAACCATGTCGGAGTTTTCACAGAGCTTTATTCACCGACCCCCCTACAGAACAAGTCTGCATGAGGTTTCCTGTGTATTCACAATGGGTTTAAGAAAACTAGAGCAGCACTAAATAAATGCAGGTTATTTACAAATTGCATTTGATTTGTCTATAATGTGTTCCCTTTTATTTTGATTTTGTACAAGATATTAAGCTTAAAGCAAACTTTGGACTGCATGAAGAACGGAGCCTCAAACTGTAACTTTGTTGAAACCCACTGACGATTCTGTACCGAGCACTCATTTCATATTTGCTGCTTCCATTTGCATTAAAAATAATCTGATTAGTTTGTTTGAAGTCCAGCGTGCTTTCGATCTGTGATGATGTCCCCTTGTCTGTGCAAAGTCCAGAGTCTGACCAGCAGCCACTGTAAGATATCTGCTGGGAGTGTGTGTGTGAGTGTGTTGTCAGCTATCTCTGTCCTGTGTTACTGCTGCTCAATGATCCAGAAGGCTCGAGTCCTGCCTTTGTCTTTTCACACCCCCTCAGTAACAGAACAGGGTCTGTCTTTTCACCACATGTCTGCCCCGCGGGAGTGGAACCCAACAGGTGAGCTGATCGTAGCCCGGAGTGAGATTTCACTCCAACTGGCCTCAGAGGGGCTGGCCTTAGGACGAGGAAGTGAGGAAGGGTTACGACAGCAGAGGGTGGGGGGTTCACTGAGGGACGATCAATACAAAGTGTCTTTTATTTGTCCAATACTAGCTGCCTGAGGCAAAGACACACAGGTAACAGAAGAACTACTGAGCTGCACCTTCACACACTCACACACACACTCACTGTGTGCAGGTGAGTGGGTGCTGGGAGTCCTACTGGTAGGCTGTGAAATAAAATGCTCCAACTCGTGCCAACAAAATGTCTGACTTTTCATGCAGACAAACCAAACAAGATGAGAAAAAGCAAAAAAAAAAAAAAGTAAATGAAATCTGACCTCCAGCAATCTTGAGAAACTCCTCTCCTGTGGCTTTATAGACCTGAAAACGCAACAAACAAGTTTCAATCATAAGTAATAATTTTTAATCAAGCACACCTTCTGTATTCTAATTGAAAATATTAAGTCATGTATTAAAAACATGTTTGAAGTAAACGGATGGGTTGGGTCTTTTAAATAAAGGTTCTGTAGAAATGTTAGAAACAATTAATTCACTTGTTGATAATAGTTGACTGAACAACCACCGTTTGAAGAAACAAGAGTTTAAAACTGACCAGTCTGACGAGCTAACCGCTAATTTGAGTCGGGCCAAAACCAAAATGGATTGTTGTCATCATAAAAACAACTTTATTATAACACCATGACCTTTGCAAAAATATTTATTCTGGCAGAAATATAATTCCCTGCTGGATGTGCTTCAGACGATACCAGAAATGCAAGTTGCCACTACATGCACTTGTTGGGGGGCAAAAAACAAAGTATATCTACATCTCTATATCTATATCTATATCTATATATATATATATATATATATATATCTCATTTGCATGAAGAAATTTAGTTGTTTTAGGATGGCAGAAATTAAATTTGGCCATAGTCTCACTGGACTAGCCGATAGCTCATCAGTCCCATCAATTAAACCCATTTCTCATGAGTCTAACAAAGTTCAAAAGGAGAAGAGATGAAACGTTTCAGCGATGAAGAACCCATCCACAGGACCTACTGATTTTATGCCCTACCTGGATTATTGAGATGCATCAAGATATTTCTACTCATTTGTTTCATAACCTTTCTACACAAGCCCGCTTCAATAGGTTTAAACTAAACTTTATGAAGTCTGCAGGGTTTTGGTCAATCTCTTGATGAGCAGTTTAGAGTGGTAAAAATCAACATAAGTTAAGAAATGAATTCTAAAGCCAACCTCGATGTATCGGCTGCCCATGTGATGTTTGTGGCGCTCCAGAGCCAGGTCTCGATGTTCAGAGTTGATGAAACGAACTAAGGCTTCCCCGTTCCTCCTCCCCTGAGCGTTCAGACACAGAGCCACGCCGCCCCTGACACACACAAACACACACATGTCCTGATGCAAAGAAACTGGACTTCATGTAGATCTTCAGCTGGTTTGAAGATAAAAATGTTCCTTTTTTTGTACTTTTAGTAAAACCATGATAACTAAATGTTAAAGTCATCATAAACTTAAGTCAGTGTTTCGCTTTACAGACACCAGTGGTGGGCACCAGCCCGCTAAAGTGCAAATCCGCTAATTGCGGACATAAATATTTAATTTGCGCTTTAGCGGTCTTACTAATTTTTATAATTCATAAGCGGATTTGCGCTTTCTAAAATTAAAATGCAGTACTGCTAATAACTAATTATCTGCCAGTCATTATTATCTTGAACAGCGGAAGGTGTGGCTGTCAATGAATCAGCACCCCTCCCAGATAAACACACTTATTGWGAAGGTATACATCCTTGCTGACTGTTGCTTTGAGCCACAGTTCTGCTTTCCCACAATGCTTTGTGAATACTTACGTAGCAGGAAGGCAATAGCAAAAACAGTAAATGTTTGTAATCCATACTAAAATTTTGTATGTATTCATTTATTTTACTTTACAATCGGAGCTCCTTATTTTAAAAAAACAAAGTTTAAACGCTGGAGCTCAATACTTGACGTAATTGGTTGAAGCAACGGGGTTAGAGACACAGAAATGATTTAAAGATGTTATGCTGGTGAAGACAGACATCTAGTGGTCAACTGGAGCAACTACATGGAAAACTTTAAAATCCAAGCTCTTATTTTGAAGGGAAGATAGTTTCCTGTACTGCGTGCTTTCGTTTCCCGTCACAAATCAAATCCATCATGTACCCTGAATGCATCGTTTCAGTTTTCCAATAAACAGTTTTAAAATTGCTTTATTGATGCTTCAATAAAAAATCTACAACAAATAAAAGAAAAAGACAAAGAAGCAGCCGAACTAGTAATCCTCAACAACTTTTTAATTTTTACACCAGGAACTAAAGGCCTGTTTCAGGAAATCACATCCCCAGCAATCGGTGGTTATAGTATTAAGTTGTAAAAGAGTTCATAAACCGCTAGTTGGCAGTGTTGTGCATATACTGTACATGAATTATTGCCGCTACTATGTGTCAAATTGAACTTGTGCTTTAAAATTTGTTCCCACTAGTATTTCTATGGCATAAGCGCTTTTGAAGTTGCGGACCTAAATATTTTCATAAGCGCTTTAGAAATTGCGGAGCTAATTTTTGGATTAGCGCTGCCCACCACTGACAGACACGATACAAGCTGCAGTTTTAAAATGTTTGGGGTAAATTCTGTTCAGAGTTTGAAGAAATTTAACCACAGCAAAACCTACTTGGCAATATTAAGTCCTTTAAAGAAGCGGGCAATATCTTGGTCTGAGGACTGCCATGGAAGCCCTCGAGCTCTGATCACCGTCTCACTGTCCACAGGCTCGCTCTTACTGCTGCACAAAGTATCAGGATCATTTCAAACGAACAAACATTAGTATTTCAGACTAAGATTTCTTTGGGTTCCCTGTAACGTTGAGCTAATTGTCCTCAGACAGCAAGTGCAGAACACAGAAGCACACTGTCGTGGTTAAATGTCAGAGGGCAGGCAAGGTGATAGGCTTAAGGCTTTCTGAGAGCAGCGGGATCTGGTGCCCTGCTACTGAATATCCAGGTAAGCACTTGATGGCAAAGTTGGACTGCCTTAATAGCACACTTGTGGTTTTCTTGTTGCTGTAATTAATGCTTAGAGCCCAAGGTCTGAGCTCTGCACACAGCTGAAAGGCGGGTGTGCGTGTGTGTGTGCGTGCGTGTGCGTGTGTGTGTGTAAACCTGTAAGTAACTCTGCTGGTTGACAGGTGTAGCGACAGCAGAGAGACACACAAATACTTGAAATATTAAAACATGTTTACATACCATGTGCCTGAGTCAAACTTGAACATCACGGTTTCCATACAGGAGAACTTGTGATCTGAAAAGTAATAAAACATTTTAATTGTATTTTTGGATCACCGGAGTTGAAAAAAAACAAACAAACAATGTTTTCTTTCTTTCATGTAGCGAAGAGGTTAGCTCTGCCAGGCAGAGCAGCTTCTGAACACTCAGCATTCCTGCAACTAATCACACCCAAAGACACACTTGGCTGTTATGAGGAGGGCAAAGCCAGAGGGGACGGCCATGGTCGAGTTGGAACACTTTGCATTAAAGTTTGATTTATTCACACAGTGACAGGTTTAGGCTGTTCATGCAGCCAGAAATGATATTGCAAAGCAATATCTTAAAGTATCTTGTCTGCAGCACACAGTCACCAAGACTGTTTGTGTGAACACGTTTCTAAACATAAATGCATTTTAAAAAGAAAAAGGAGAGTAAAGATTTTTGATTTTAGTTATTAGCTCAGGTGTGGGTCATGTTCCAGCTCCTTCACTTGTAGCTTTCTTGTTCCTGACATTTGGAGAAACGAAGTCATTTCATGTGGTTACTTACTGTAGGGCTCAGCCAGGAGGCAGAGGCTCAGCTGCACCATGCTCCCCACCTCCCTCACCCCAATCATCTGCTCCGACACAGCAGGGAGACCGACATCTGCGCACACAGTTAAGGCTGACCACCTTCAGCCATTATTCTGGCTTTTCTACAACCTTTTAATTACATCTTACTTTGGAAACCAGTGTGCCTGAGTCACTGTGTGTGTGGAGTGGTAGAGAAAGGCTGTAGTGGTGCAAAAAGGAGATTTTTAAAAGCGAAAGGATACATTCCAGCATGGAGGCCAGGGTGAGCTTCTGCACGGGGCCTGCATTCGGGCAGCATTTGTGGAACTCTTTCCTCACGTCAAAAAATGAGAAGCAGCTTTCAGGTAGCACCAGATTCTGGAGAGGAAGACACAAAAACACAACGAGTTAGTGTTTGACGTAAAATAAGAACACAAAAAACCCAAAGAAAACACTGACACAAATAAAAACAGAGTCCAACCAGCACATTTCTAGATCCTAGCACTTCTAAATAATTCAAACTTTAATATAACTGATCGTACATCTATTATGGAACTAAAACTCTGAATACAGTCTTTGGCATTTCATGGAAGTACTTTTTATTTATTTATTCAATGAGCATAAGAAACTGTAGGGAAAGTAAAAGACCTTTTTGGAGGCTTCTGGGTGGAGGGCCTGTCGAACGACAAGCGGACTGTTCACCAAGAGAGTGTAAGAACTTCTGCCGAGGCATTTTACTTCTGATGAAACAGACTGCTGAAACTGTAAAAAGAGAGGTATAAAACGTAAATGTGGATTTTATCATTAATATTTTCCACAACAGGCTGTAAAAATGATCAAGCCTACAACATCGAAGTGTTTTATAGATGGAAAAATGACAAAGAATAACTCATTTTCTGTTGCTTTTAAAAACAAAACATTCAGAAGCTAAAAGGAGGAATAGTTCCAGTTTAGAGTCTCTGTAAATGTGAATTTAAAGGGATCCATGATTAGTTGTAACATTAGACTATTTGATAAACGTATATTTTAACTGTAAAATAGAGACTGTAAAAATACTGTAGGGTGTTTAGTTTTTATAATTTTTAAACTAAATGTTTCAAAATATATTGCACAGACGGGGCCATTTTATTTACACACAAAGCATTCTGGGTAAATGATGACGTGGATAGGTCCTCAGTGCGGGGCTGCTAGTGAGCTATATCCACCCTGAAGGTTAATCTTGGACAATATCTGATGATCGACTCTTTTAAATGAAACCAGAGAGCGTTGACAGAGAGGAGAAGGTAGAAATGACTCAGCCTGGAACTGAAAATATGGATGGAGGTCCTCAGTTTAGCTTGTTATGTTAGCGCTGAGCTAATACATATAAAAGGCAATAGCGTCAGCGCTAAACACTAAAGCTAACAGGCTAAGCTGAGGTTCTTCTTCCATGAAGCAGCTCTGTTGTCCTCCATCCATATTTTCAGTTCCAGGCTGAGTCATTTCTACCTTCTCCTCTCTGTCAACGCTCTCTGGTTTCATTTAAAAGAGTCGATCATCAGATATTGTCCAAGATTAACCTTCAGGGTGGATATAGCTCACTAGCAGCCTCGCATGATAAACCTCATCGACGTCAACATTTACCCAGAATGCTTTGTGTGTAAATAAAATGGCTCCATCCGTGTTAAAATATATTTTTAAAAATTTACTAAACTACATCCTACAGTATTTTTACAGTCTTTATTTTACAGGTTAAAATATATGTTTATCAAATAAAGTTTAATGTTACAACTAATCGTGGATCTCTTTAAACACACCAGAAGTGAAGGTGGTGTTTTGTTTGACGTTTCTCTGTTTCTCGCCAGAAACGAGGCATGTCCAACGGGTTTTTGTGTTTGCCCTGAGACGAAAGAAGACAAAAGATAGGAATGATCGCACCACTAACCACCAGGTTCATGGATTCTTTTTACATGAAAACAAAACCCAACCCATACAAGTTCGACTGGCCTCGGCCAGGCTTCAGTACCAGCACCTACGTTGACACCGTCATGTTCATAACATGTTCAGTGAGCTTAGCTTCTTCTGCTTCGTCAACCTCATGTTTCACAGCCAGCCGAGATCATTTCTCCACAGTTAATACATCCAACAGATAATTCAGTCCTTTTCTTCTCAAAGCCACCTCTGAAGAGCATTTAGACCCTAAACCCTTGAGACGGACGAGTTGGAATGGCCACCGGTGCTGTACGACAGGCCTTCAGACAGGGAGTATTAGAGGTGCATGTTGGGACACGCTTCATAACAGTCAGAGAGCGAAGCTCAGCTTTTTGACAGTACCAGCCTACCCAGAAGGATTTTTCCCCAAAATGAAGAAAAAATGTTTTAAGATGGCTTGATAAAAACTTGCAAAATTAAATCAATTAAACTACTTGTTTATTTCCAGCAAGAGCCATGAACATTAGCAAACAGAAAACTTCTTTCGACATTTGACTTTGTGAAATACTGCTTATTTTAAAATAAAGTTTCACACAGTTCTAGAGGATCATAGATCAGATGGTGTTTCAGTAGAAAAAAATAGGTGAGATGACATGAGGAGATAAAGGTGATGCAAAACTGCGGTACAAATATAAGTTCAGTGACATTGAGAATGTTTGCATGGTTTACTTTATTTTCTTGGTACAGAACACCAAAAATATAAAACAATATCTACTGTATCGCTTTTTATAAAACACAAAAAACTGCAACAACATATACATAACTCAGAAAACCAATAATACAATCATGTTAAGCTTTATGAGGTCACAAAAAATGTTATATTATAATTTAGAGGGAGCCACACATTCATTTTCATTCCTGGTGGTTTCATTGTCAAAAACAGCAAACACAATAATCCACAACTACGATACAGCAAAACTTTTATAGATTAACTTACTGGCAGATTTTGAGCTAAGTCCTACAGCCTAATTTCATTATTTACAGTGATAACAGGACTGGTGTTTGCTCATAGCTGTGCATACAACTCCACCTTGGACTATTACTAAAGAGATTACTGAGAGAAAAGCCTGTGTTACAGAAGAGGGTGGAGACACTCCTCCTTTTCTCTTCATCAAAAAACACAGATTATACAAACAAGCTGAGCAGAAGACGGATCTATCACTGACAAAACAGACAGGAAACGTTATAAACGTCTTAAACTGGTAACGCCATTTTTAGTGGTCATGATCTATATGAACATTTAATGCCACAAAAAAGGATTGATGCTGTGTAATGCAATGCCAAGTGGTGCAACTCTTGAGACCTGCATCCAAATAAATTAGTCACGAGCGAGGTATGATAAAAAAAAAAACTCAAAACAAAAATTTAGTTGCAGCTTTACACAACACTGTTCTTTGAGACTTCTATCAGAGTCTCATTATGATAACGCTGCATTACTTTATCAAACATAAATGGCATTCTCTACCTCCGAAGGGCATTTCCAGAGACGAGGGGGAGGAAGTGGCCTTTGCTCAGGGTTCTATCAAAGCGTGCATCAGTGAAGCTGGACTAGTTGTGTGCAGAGGTGAGGTAAGGTGGTGGTGGCTCAAACAAACTGTGATAAGAGCAGCAGGGAGTGTTCAGGCAATCCATGTGGGCAACTGTTTAAACACAGGCCTGCAGCACAGTGTAGTTTCTGACACAAAGACTGGGTCAGAACTGTGGTGCAATCACTTTTTTCTCTCTCTTTCTAAATGTTAAAGTAGTAGCTTATGTTTTGATGATACCAGGTTTTAAAAAGACGTTCGTGTTGTAACGCGACGACCTTTGCAACTGATAACTAAAGCCCAATATTACTGCATTTAGTGTAAACCAAAATCCAGCAAACAACAGGTCAGGTGAAGCTCTAAAAACTGTTACACATGTGGAAGTAAGGACATAAGAGCAATGTTTCATAACAAAGTCTAAGATAAAGTGCAATTCTTCACAGGCTGTGACATGCTGTCAATGTCTCCGACTAAAGCCAAGCCTAGAAAGTCAGCAGCAATCGTAACTACAGACGAACCACCAGTCTACTCTGAACAAATACAAGGAAACACAGCTAGGTCTTTTTATTTTTAGGCTCTTGGGAAATCTGGCAGTATCAACACTTATAATACCTAAATTCTGTCCATGTAAGTCGTCTGTGAGCCACAGTTTAACAGCACAGACGACCACATCGCATTCTCTACTTTAACGTTACACCCAACAGACGTCCTTGGGAAATGTGACAACAAAGGACAATAAAACAAGCCCACCAAAAAATGGACAGTTTCTTTTTATTAAAGTGGAAAAATCCTGCTTTTAATTCTTCTTTTTCACATTTAAATCATTCAGTTGGGGTCTATATAAAGTGGAACTGTAATGCTTTGGTCTGAACGCCTCCTTATTGTAACTCCACAAGCCCCTCTTTCACCCTTTTTCTGAGGTGTGTCTCAGATCAACTCGTTTTGAGGCTGTCTCTTTAAATCCAAACGAGGCGCTTCACACCCAGCCCTTTCCATCTTCCACAGCAATTCATTCTAGTTTGATAGAGGGGTTTACGACTATATAGCGGCGTGGAAACACTTTATTTAAAAATTAATTAAAAGATGTCAACCGCAGAAGACGTGTCCATCCAGCCTTACATGTTGGAGTCAGAGTAACAGCACAGAGCCAGAGGAGAATGAAGACAACAAAAATGTAGTTGGTAAGTCCAGACCTTATTTGACAGTTCCATCACAAATAATTTTACTTAATCTTTCAGAAAATGACAGAAAACTGAACAGATTGAAAAATATGACCCAAACAGGATATGAAGACATCTTTGCAGCACTGGGAGAAACTAAATTCAACTTCTCTGCACTCCTAGAGACTCCAAGTACATAACAAAATGTATTTAATGGCTAAAAAAGTGGATTTTGCTTGATATTTACAATCTGATAAAAATAGCTGGTATGAAATAAAGAACTATGGAGAGTTCTGGTTCTAGACAGCACTGCCATGCAGCACTTCCAACTATCTGCACCAATTTTTTTACCCCTTCCTTGTATCAGTAAGGATAAACTAATCTTAGAAGGACCAATAGTGAGGGAAAGTAAGCAGTCACACAAAGGTATGAAAAGAACAAACTGATTGCTTGGGTTAATATTTGAAGGTTCAGCGCACGGTCTAACCTAAGTGGCTGAAGCTTTTCTCCATCTGTGAATGGAACCACGTATAAGAAGTCTTTATTTATGCCAAACCCCTACAAAGTTTTCAGTTTTGTTTATGAATTATTATTTACAAATTTAAAAAAAATGCCTGAACAGATTGGACACTTTTAGTGCCTGCACCATATTCATCCAGCAATAGAACTGATGAAAATGAAACCTTCTTAAAATTATTTAGTGAAGGTTGAAAATGTGTACCGAACAAGTAGTCCTGCCACGGCAGCTGAAAAACGTGTTTGGCAACATAAACACTTTCGTCCAGACACACTTCCTGAAAGAGGGAACCAGGAAGACCAATGGAAAATGCCGATGTTTTCACCAGGTGCTAAAAAATATCTCAAAAAAGGTATTTGCCTTGGTGATTATTTGTAGAATGTTCAAGCAGTGGCTCAAAGAATTAATGACCAAATATAAGATAAGGTAAGTATCTTCAGGTTAACAGTGGTGCGAACACAAAAACAAGAATCTAACTTAAGATAACATCAAAATACCTACACTTCAGTTTTACAGATACTGAACTAAAATGTATTCATCTGCAACACTGAGCCCAAACAGATCACTGAACTTTGGAATGCAAGGTGGTGGACAATTTATAATATTATTAGTTATTTAGGCTTGAAACATGGCAAGAATGTTAAAGCAAATATTAAAATATTTTATTTTTTTATGACTAACGACTCATATTAAATCTTTAGTTGGTTCAGTTTTAACACAAACTTTAAGTTTATGACTATAAATAAAAGTACTTCAATGGATTGCGATGGGCAACTGGATGGTGACCAAAATTTACAAGTCAGTCTCTAACATGTCTTACTGCATTCAAAGTTTCTCAATTTCCTCACGAGTCACAGAGTTGCCTAACTGTGAACATGCTCAAAAATCTGAGTGCCAAGATATCTCTCAAAATAGTCATGGGGGGGGGG